GTCCCTTAGCTCGCCCTCGGGCACGGGCCGGGGTCCCTTCTAAGCCTGGAAATGGGTCCCTTCCGGGAACAGGTTGGGGTCCCCTCCGGGCACAGAGCTGGGGTTCCTCCAAGGCACAGGTTGGGGTCCCCTCCAGGTGTGGATCTGGATCCCCTCCAGGCACAGGTCGGGGTCCCCTCTGGGCATGGGTTGGGGTCCCCTCCTGGCACAGGCTGGGGTCCCCTCCAAGAACAGGTTGGGGTCTCCGCTGGGCATGGGCTGGGGTCCCCTCTAAGCATGGATCTCGGTCCTCTCCATGCATGGGCTGGGGTCCCCTCTGGGCACAAGTTGGGGTCCCCTCCAGGCATGGGCTGGGGTCGCCTCGGGGCACACATCTGGGGTCCCCTCCAGGCACAGGTTGGGGTCCCCTCCGGGCATGGATCTGGGTCCCCTCTAGGCACGGGCTGAGGTCCCCTCGGGGGACAGATTGGGGTCCCCTTGGGGCAGAGGTCAGGGTCCCCTCTGGGCATGGGCTGGGGTCCCTTCCAGGCACAGGTTGGGGCCCCCTCTGGGCATGGATCTGGGTCCGCTCTGCACATGGGGTGGGGTCCCCTCTGAGCACAGGCTGGGGTCCCCCTCCATTCATGGGCTGGGGTCCCCTCAGGGCGCAGGTCACGGTCCCCCTGGGGCACAGGTTAGGGGTCCCTGTCCAGCCACGGATTTGGGTCCCCATCCAGCTGCTGGCTGGGGTCCCCGTCTGGGTATGGGTTTGGGGTCCCCGTCTGGCCACGGGCTGGGGTCCCATATCCCCACCACCCTGCTGGGGCTGCTGGTTCTCCCGTGGCTCCCACTGCCCGTCACCTCCCCGCAGCCCACGCAGGTCCCTCTCGCTCCTCACCCTTCCGCAGCCCCGCGAGGTCCCCGTGCCCCATGTGTCCCCAGCCAGGGACGGGGCTGGGGCTGCAGCTACAGGGGACATGGTCTCCCCCCGAGATGTAGGCTGGGGTCCCCCCTGCCAGCAGCTCGCTCTGCCGCGGAAGAGCACGAGGGTTTTTTTTTAATACTCCAGCAAATTTATGGAGTGTGTCCGAGACGCAGTGCTGCTGTCACTGCAGACCTCTTCCCGCAAATCCCACTTCCAACACCAAAAGTTGTTTTTCCTAATTAAAAAAAAAAAGCAAAAACAAACAAACCACAAACTTCAGGGTTTCCACATGAAGCTATTCCAGCAATGTTTCTGGCCAAAGCGGCTGCGCGTGGGCATCTCCCTAGCCTGTCTCTAAGGCGTGCTCGGGGAGCGGTGGGTGCTTTCCCCGAGCGCTTCCCTTCCCCACAGAGCTGAGCCCAAAACCCACCCCGGTGACCCCTCCCCACAGGGGCTGTTTGGTGACATCGTCTCACTCCTGCAAATATAACCCCAAAATCACCAAAAACGCTTTTTTTTTTGTGTTTCCCCCCCCCTTCCAGGAGACACTCAAGAACAACCTGGTTTTTCTACAAAAAGAGAAAGAAGAATTTAAGCCCGAAGGAGAAAAGAAAAGCGATGGCCTGCTGGTAGGCGTTTCTCTCTCCGTGCGCACGCCGTGCCCCCCTGCTGACCTACCCGTCTTCACGGGCGCATCCCATCTTTCCCTCTCCCCACATATATTTATCCCCTTTTCCGTAACAACACTACTTTCTCTCTCCCTCTCTGTCCATCCCATATATCCTTCTTCCGTCCTGCTGTCATTCAGACTCCGCTGTCAGCTTGTGTCCATCAACATCCAGGCTTGCCACCCCTCTCCTCCCTCCACCCTTCCAGCTTTTCCTCCCCAAAAACTCTTCTCCTTTTCCCCATGACCCTTGCCCGCCTCTTCGCAGCACCGGGTCCCCGTGCCTGCGCGGAGGCTCCCGGAGGACGGGATGGCTCAGGGGCCTCCGCGCGGGTGCCTTGCAGGGGGAGGTGGCCTCGGAGCGGCAGAGGCTGCGGGACACCTTCGAGCAGCTGCAGCAGTTCCTGCGGGAGCAGGAGGGCGTCCTGCTGGCCCAGCTCGACCGGGCACACGGGGAGCTCACCAAGGAGCGCCACGAGTACATCTCCAGCGTTTCGGAGAGGAAATCGCTGCTGGACACGCTGATTGTGGAGATAGAGAAGAAACGTGACCAGCCAGTGGTCGAATTCCTTATGGTGAGGCTGCATTGCCCACCCGGGCGCTGTGACCCCCCGGCAAGGCTGGGGACACCCACCCGGCCCCCCTGCATCCCGGTGCCCGTGCAGCCCAGAGCCTGGGAGCGAAGGGCAGCACGGTGCTGGCCGGCGTGCCAGCGGCCAGGCTGTGACGCCGCGGCGCGTGGTGTGGCTGGCGTGAGTCTGGGCCTGCAGTGTGAACTGAGGGGAGGCAAGGATTTGGTGAGCGAGTCACCGGAGAGTCCCCAGGAGAGCGGTGTCACCCCCCAATCCCCATCACCCTGCTTCACGCAGCAGGGGAGCGACTGTAACTCACCGCCCCGGGGACCGGGGTCCTTCTCGGCAGTGCCAGAGCTGACCTGGTGTTTTCTCTCTTCCAGGATGTTGGCAAAATCCTGAGCAGGTATGAAATGGGCTCAGCGTCGCTCTCCTCCCGCGTGGCTCTTCTGGGTGGAGGTTTGGAAACGCTGCAGGTGGCCGAGCAGCAGCAGCCGGAGGGGAGATGGCTTTGCTCTGCTGAAGAGTTGGGATTTAATGGGATGTTATCTGGAACCAGAGGCTGTTGCAGCCCTGTTAAAGACGGGGTTCCCGTGCCAATAGCTGGGACACAGCTCCCCTGAGTTCTGTTGCTGTAGGGGATTGTCCCCCCGTTTCCCTCCTGGCCCTGGGTGCTGGCTGACTGCTGGGGTCAGAGCTCCTCTCCGTGTTGTTTCCCCCTTCAGCTGCGAGGCGGCGAAGGCCCCGATCCCAGAGCCGGTTTCCCCAGAGCTGCAGAGGACCGTTAAGAGCCTCTCTGAGATGAGCCAGCTGGTCGTGGGTGCGGTGGACAAGTTCAAAGGTAAAGCAAAGACACGGTGAGCGATGCCTGGCTGTGGAGCCGGTGTCCAGGCCGCAGGCGGGTGTGCTGCTGCCCCAGGGCACCGGGCACTGCTGTCCCCGCACCATGCAGTGGGAGATCCTCACCACCCACGGCCTCTGCCTGGGGCTTGGGAGCAAAACACACCTGCTCCAGCCGGGACCCATCTCCGAGGTGGGCTTTGCTGGAGCCCAGGGAGCTGGGGAGCAGGCTCCACGTCTGGCTTGCTGTCCTGACGGGGAGGAGGAAGGATGCCACAAGAGGAGAGGGACTCATGCATCTTCCTTTCCTTCCTCTAGTGAACCTGCTGAGCGAGGTGGACAGAGAAAGAGGTAAGTTTCTGGAGCTGATGGGCACAAATAGGGAAGAAAAGCTTTCCAGAATGAGTTTCCTTATGTCCTTGGGGCAGAGATGGGCTCACACCACGACATCTAAATCCATGGTCTGTCTGAAACCGGGTCCTTTCACTTTGACTAGGCCTGCTATAAAAATCCAGGTCCGTCCCCATGCCCGGCAGCACCCAGCGACACCGTCCTCTCCCGCCAAACGAGGCCTGGGGCAGCGCGAGGCCCTCAGCTTCCCTGTCTCTGGAGAGTTTATTCTTATGCCGTGATGTATAAGACTGTGACTAGTTAAGCAAAGGGGCCGTATGCATTTTGAGCTGGCGTTTAGGCACAGGTTGGAAATGCCTTTGCAGGTGCTGGGGGTCCACGCAGTCCTGGCAGCATCGCAGGGCTTGGGGCTGGCTGGAGCTGTTTGCGCTGAGGCCAGTCTCTGCCCTCTCAGTTTTCGGGATGAAAGTGTGCCTCAGTTTCCCCCACGCTGTGGTCCCCGCCGTGAACCGGGGCCCTGGAGGAGCGGGTTTAGCAGAGGGGCTGGGGTTGTGGCACTGCGCGGTGACACCTCTGTGGCCTTGTGGGACGGCCGCGGGATGGCAGCAGAACATCCCACATGAATGGGCGGCTCCAGCTCTGCGGTGAGATTGCCTGGTTACTCGGCGGAGCGGGGTTAGGAGCTGGTTTTCCCTTTGGTGAGCATTCGTTCCCCTTGTCACTGGAGCAGGGACTGGCCTGGCACCACTGCTGCCTTGCAGGCAATGCTTCCTCACGCTCTGGGGATATGTTGCTCCCCCACACCCAGCCTGCCTGCAGCCCCATCGCGCTTAGACCCAGCAATATCCAGCACAGGATTAGCAAAGCAGGTTTAGCAAAGTCCATTGTGTCCATCCCCTGTGTGTGGGGACGCTGCCTGGCTCGGTCCTGCTTCAGGGAGCGCTGCTTTTCCCATGGGTCCTGGCATGGGGGGCAGTGACTGCCCCATGTCCCGTGCCACCTGAGGGGACCGCAGGTGCTGTGTGTGCGCTCACGGGGCACGAGTGCCTGCTGTGCTCACAGGACACGTCCCAGCCCTGTGGAAGAGGAGGGAGAGGTGCTGGTCTGCTCCTCAGCAGGCAACGGACTGACGTTTCTCTCTGTCGTGCATTAGTGAAGGTGACGCTGGACCCAGAGACAGCAGGCCCGTACCTGATCCTCTCGAAGGACTGCAAAACCGTGCGGCTGGGAGACGGACAGCAAAACCTCCCCGACACCCCCAAGAGATTCACGGGCAGCCCCAGCATCCTGGGCTCCCAGGGGTTCACGGCCGGGAGGCATTACTGGGAGCTGGAGGTAGGGAACGGGGACAGCTGGGCCGTGGGGGTGGCCGTGGAGTCCGTGCGGAGGAAGGACTCGCTCAGCATGGCGATGGGGAAGATCTGGGCCCTGCGACGGGACTGGAATCTCCAGTACACGGCCCTCCACATGCCCCCCGCCCCGCTGGCACTGGAGGAAGAGCCCCGGCGGATCAGAGTCCACCTGGACTACGAAGCGGGCCAAGTGACCTTCTACAATGCAGAGAACATGATGCAGATCTTGCAGTTCAAGGCCTCCTTCACCGAGAAGGTCTTCCCATACTTTTGGCTCTGGTCAGAAGAAACCTACATCCAGCTGTGTGCCTGATGGGGTCGGACACCTTCTGGTCCCCTGCCCTGTGCCCTGTGCCCTTGGCTAGCTGAGCAGGCAAGAGGCGTGGGAATGACGCAGCATTGCGTTGCAAACTCACTGCAGCTCTGCCTGGGCTGCATCTCCTCTTGCCAAGTCCTTTGGAGCATTAAAGATGTGTTGTCCTGCCCGGGGGGTGTCTGCTCGCTGGTGTCCTGGCCGGATCTCACAGTGGCGGTGTCCCACCTGTCCCTGCAGGCACTGAGGACACACACACATATGCCGGAGAGAGGCTGGGAAGATGCTGTGATTGCCCGTGCTGGTCTTTGGCAGCGCTGCATGGCTTGCTTTGGCTCGGTGTGGTCTGCTGTCTTGTGGGCAGCATGGGGATGCAGCCACCCCACACCCAGGAACTCGGGGTGGAGCCATGGAGGTGCTAACAGTGGTGGTAACTGCTCACGTAAACCTGTAAAAACTTGCTTGAAAGGAAAATGTTCAGGGAGGGGACAGGGCCAACTGGAGAGCTGGAGTGAGGGCACAGCCCCAGCCTCCCCAGGCTGGAAGAGCAGCAGTGATGGGGGGTGTGATGGGGATCTGTGAGATTCTGGGTGGTCAGAGAGGGAGCAAATGCTGTGTTGTCTAATGCAGGAACCAGGAGGATCCTGTGAATCTGGTGGGTGGCAGGATGCAGGCAGAGGAACACGGGTCACGTCCTGGAGGTGTGGGATCCCCTGCCCAGGCCTTTACGTCTCTGCATCACGCTGAGAACGCTGAACCCAACGTGATCAGCCTCGCAGCCAGAGACAGCGGCCTCTGAAATGCCACAGGGAGATCCGGCAGAGCGCATCTGCCAAGGACTCGGCTTGACAGCAGAGATCTGCAAACCTTTATGTGAGGAGAAGGGGCACGACCTGCTGGAGCCATGCTGCCTGTCCCGAGTGCTTCACTGTATCACCCTCTTTCTCCAGCTGTAAAATGGGACTGTGTGTTTTGGAGCTGGGACTGCTCCCCCCTGTGCCTGCAGCACCCACAACCGGGCAGGCCTGAGGGACGACCCATGCCAGGAGTCCCCTCCTTTCCACAGCGCAGCCATTGCTGCCTCGGTCCTGCTCCCCGACCGTCAGCAGGGGACAGGGCTGGGAAAAGGCAAGGTGGGGCAACGGGTCCTCTGAAAAGCTGGGCATGTGTCCATTTTTAAGGCAAATAGCAGCACCTGGGTAAATATCACAGTTCTTGCAGGTGGAGGACACGAGCGAGGTCTGCAGGGGTTATTTGGGGCGGCCCAGTTGCGCCTGCTTTCTGCACCACCCCGCGGGCTGACGTGGGCACGCAGTGCGCTCAAGTCTCTCTTCTCCCACTCCAATTTCACAAGTGCCATGGCTCCACGAGGTCTCGGCGCTGCAGGGACGCGCGCTGGCTTCTTAATTTCACGCCGCCGCTCACCGAACGCCTCACAAAAGCGGCCGCCAGTGACGCTGCTCGTTTAAAGATCTCGTTTGAGGAGAAACGACGCGGGAAGGGTTCCTCGGCTCACCGAGGCACACTTAGTTACCTGCTGGGTTTATGCCCTTTTCCCCCCCCTCATCTTTCCCCGTTTTAACCGCTTCCCCTCAGGCCCAGGGGGGATAAAAGGGAGACAGCCGGAGATGTGGCGGCAAAGCGGGCGCCTCAGTGAAGCGGGGACTACATTTCCCAGCATGCAACGCCGAGGCGGGCAACGCGTTCCACGCGTT